ACAAATCTGGAGAACAAGCTGAAGAAAGATCCACGCGACATGAAGGAATACCAGCGGAGGATCGACAATCTACTAGAAAAAGGATACGCCGAACCCTGCGACGGCTCCGAGGACGCCAGCCCCGTCGCATGGTACCTGCCGCATTTCGCCGTCAAGAATCCCAATAAGCCCGGGAAGCTGCGACTGGTTTTCGACGCAGCAGCAAGAATTCGAGGTGTTAGCCTGAACGATCACCTACTCGAAGGGCCGGATCTGCTACGATCGCTGCAGACCATTTTATTCCGGTTCCGAGAGGGCGCATACGCGGTGACAGCTGACATCGAGGAAATGTTCCTGCGAATCAAGATACGCCGCGAGGACCAACCCGCACAGATGTTCCTGTGGCGCGACTGCAGGCAGAATGAACCACCGCGCAAGCTGAAGATGACATCGATGATCTTCGGCGCATCGAGCTCACCATTCCTCGCACACAGCGTGAGGGACCACAACGCGAGACAGCATGCTGAGACGCACCCTGCAGCACTGCGCGCAATCACCGAAGCGCACTACATGGATGACTTCGTCGACAGCTTCAATGATCCGAGAGAGGCCCACGAAGTCATCACCCAAGTCGACGCAGTGCACCAGAAGGCTGGATTCCACCTGAGGGGATGGAACAGCAACAACAGGAAGCTACTACAAGCCGTGAACCCGGATAGTAGAGCCAAAGGCGGGACGACGACGTTTGGAGACACAGAGAAGACATTGGGCCTGCTTTGGGATGCGAGTACCGATCGGCTGGGCTTCAATACCGCCCTGCCTAGAGTCCCACTGCCAGTGAAGTCTCGACAACGCCCGCCGACGAAAAGAGAAGCATTATCGACGGTGATGAGCATATACGATCCGCTCGGATTGCTCAGCTGCTTCACAATCACAGCGAAGATAACTCTTCAAAAACTATGGCGCCTCAAGACCGGCTGGGACGACCCTCTACCATCCGACTTGAGCGAGGACTTCGATGCATGGTTGACAAGCCTGCCAGCAATCGACCAACTACGGCTACCCCGTAGTTACAACGGGGGGAGAGAAGTGCGTCGCCGTGAACTTCATGTATTTTGCGACGCCAGCGAAGAAGCCTACGCAACGGCGGCGTATTGGAGGTTGCACTACGGACCCGGCCATGTCATCGAGACAGTTCTGATAGCGGCTAGAGCTAAGGTCGCGCCCTTGAAGACCCAAACCGTACCGCGCCTGGAGCTTCAAGCGGCCCTCATCGGAACGCGACTAGCGAAGGCAATCAAAGAAGAACACCGTGTCAACGTCGACGACACCGTGTACTGGAGCGACTCTCAGACGGTGCTTCATTGGCTGCGGAATGGAAGCAAGCGCTACACTCCATTCGTCGCACACCGTCTGGGAGAAATAACTGAGTTATCCAGACCGCAAGACTGGCGATGGATACCGACGCATCTGAACGTGGCCGACATCGCCACACGCGCCGGGTATACGCCAGCCGACGAAAACGACCTGTGGTTCACGGGACCATCCTTCTTGAAGTTACCAAGATCGGAATGGCCGAAGCAACCAACGGATCGAGAAGACGAGGAAACGATGGAAATAACGCTCGTACCACGCCGCGACCCACAACGTCCACGAAGCAGCGAAGTACGGACCGGAGACGTGGTTATCATAGCCGACCACGCTCTGCCTCGAAACACGTGGCCACGCGGCATCGTAGCCAATACCTACCCTGGACCTGACGGCGTGATTCGGAACGTGGAGATAACGACAAGAGGAGGAACATTTCGACGGCCGACATCGAAGCTGATCGTCGTCGAACCTGCACTCTCCACGGAACGATGAGAGAGGACGCGCTGCGCGACGGGCACGGGGCTGCCAACCGGAGGAGGCTGCGGAGATCCTTCGCCGGGGGGAGACTGTTGACGACAGCCACGTGCCGAAAAATGTACAGATCGAACGACCAATCACAGCGCCTACATTAGCTGAATTATCAGGGAGCCCATTGGCTGCGTAGGCGCCGTCCGCACGGTGGGGGCGATTCCCCCACCCGGCGCGCGGGCGTTAAACGCGCTGTGATTGGTCGGCCGCCGCGCGTCACTAGTAGCTAAGTTAGATGTTAAGTGTAGAATAAGGGTAGGGCCAAATTTGTAAATATTTGTAGTCAAGTCAAGTCAGTCAAGCAGTATAGTCAAGCAGTAACAAGTAGCCAGTAAGAAGAAAATACAATAAATCGTCTATAGAAGAAATCCGTCTTTGTTTTCACCATCATCCACGGTTATACAACATCGTCTACAGTTTGGTCCATAGAGCCGGATCAGCACCCTCAATAGTTTTGGTCCTTCGAGCCGGATCACCACCCTCAACACAATGCTTTGTATTGCTCTATGATCAAATTTTATAATGAGGAGAGCCATAGGCCAAACCAACGTTAATGACATTGCTCGAAGCATTGCTCAGCTGAAGTAGCAGTGGGTGGGATACAGAGCGACAAGAACCTTCTAAAATGACGACCACGCACCAGACGACACTCTGTGGGTAAGCCTCCAACCAGATGGAGCGACAATTTGAAAAAGGTAAGCCGCTAAATGCGAGTAGTGCAGGATCGATCATCATGGTGATCGACAAACTTAGACCTGGCTCAGTGTTGGGCATCGTACGGCTGATTACGTATGTGTAATCTACACATGTTGATTGCTTTTGCTTCCTCATGACGATCCTGCGCAACGACATGCAAGAAAGACGTACTGGGCAACTAACGTCGGTCCTCCTTATCGAATATGCCTAGCCAAGGAGGGTTTCGGTAAGGCGTTAGAAGTGGATTATCATTTGCATTTTTACATAATTATTAATGTACTCTATATTTAATTTTTAAAAAAGCAGCCTTTGCCGAGTTTCTTGCCGGTTCTTCTCGGTACAAGATCTCCCACCGTAGATTTACGAACCGATGGCGTATCTCTCGACTTTCAAAAGTGCTTGTAAAAGCCTAGACTGATTAAAGGTTTTTGATTTTATTCAAAGGATTATTTAAATTATTATCCACCAACATTTACTCTTGTCCTAACATATAGTACTGTACATGACCAAAAACTCGTTTACAAGAGGTTGTAGCACAGGCGATCTCTGGGGGCTCATTCCATTGGTCGATAAAATGATAATACTTACACAGGCTGAATGCCAAAACGAAAGTGTGAAATGAGATCACAGTTTATCTCTCAGCTATTTGCAACGCAGCAAGGTTTAGATTTGATTGGAGAAATTTTACCATTATATATAAACTGAAGTGCTGTTGACTGTACATATTCAGAATTAAATAGTAGTGTTTTTTTCGTTTTTCAATCAGTAATTGAATATTCAAATATATTTGATACCTAGTTTGACATTTGCAAGCCAAGGTTGTTCATAAGAGATCACCGAATCAAATGAAAATAATGAGCACTTCCTTCTGTATTCTAAAATACCTTTTACCTTTGTTTCATCTAGGGATCAAGGGCTTTACTTCATGCAAATATCATTGTTGACAATGGTTTACACAGTTTATGACACTAACTGGCTTAAATTTCAAATGGTTAAGTATAACTATCATATTTTAAGCATGTACACGCTTTTTGTGTGAAAGTAAATAGGTAGGCTAGCAAGTATTTACACTAAATTTACAAAAAAAAAATAGGTTTGATTAATTTTTCAACTGTCTATATAATTTTCTATTCTACTTTTACTAAAGACTACATGTTACATTGATAATTTACTCACTCAGCCCATTGCCATAAAATAAAACTATGACTTCCCCACCACTTTGGTGCTCATGTAATGCCTGAATGACCTTAGTCATTCATTGAAAACCATACACCTTTTGCATTAATAATTAATGTTAACAATCAAAAGTCAAGTCTAAAGTAGAAATAATGAATTTTCATTAGAGGAATTTAATTTTTTAATCTAAAGTATACATTATATATTAAAGAATGTTTTAAAATATTTGATATGTGAAACAAAAATGTTGGCCTCTTTTTATGAAAATTATGCAGACAGGCGTGTTTGAAATTTGGCACAATTAAAGTTTATATGGAGAAGAAGTGTTTTTAATAATGCTATATAACAGTTTGAATTGATAAATAAAATGTTAGATACACTCGGGGATTGCAATCCGGCTGGATCTGGACCAAATTTCCATCAATCACAATTTGCTAATATGGTCACCAGATCTGAAATACATATACTGTTGCCAAATTGCCAGAATACTGGATTTGGTTTTCCAGATTCTCTCAGAATCAAGCTTAAATACTTTTGTTTACTGAATGTCAAACAATAATTGGGAGTAGTTTTTAACAAAAATTTCTTAAATGACGACTGGAGAAATAAAATATGGTGATACAAATTTTGGTGAGTCAGCTAATATAAAATAAAAATCTTTATAATTATACCCCAGACCTCTCATATGATATTTGTTAATATTGATGCTTAAACATCTATTATATTAAGAGTGCTACGCTTTTTAACCTGTATTGTAAAGACTTTTAATTAAACGCAATTGTATGCAAATTAATCAATGGATAATGGTGTTTATTTACATTTGTCACAGTAACATTTGTGGCTTTTGCTTTTGTTTGCTTTTTTTACTGTTTCTAATAAATTTAAATTCAAAAATATATAAACAGTTTAAAAGTACATAATTAACATGTTTTTAAAATTTTGTGAGCTGGTGTTAAAAAAGTTAAAAACGCTGGTGTTAAGTTAGCAAAAGACTTCTAAATTCATATGTATAGATAACGATTATGTAAATAATATAATCATTTCTCGAGAATACATTAACCAGAAATAGACAAGAAAATAACCAAGTCAATCATTCTAAAAATAAAACAATAATTCATACAGCTATCAAATGGTGATAGCATATGGATGAACAGTTCAAGGCCATAAATTTGAGTTCCCGCCAAAGATATTGCAAAATCTAAATAGTTTTGGCTGCGTTACAAAGTTGAAAATCTCATTTTCATACTCACCCGAAATCGTGATATGATAACTCCCATTCTAACAGTTTAGCCAAAAAAAACAATTTAGCACTTCTAACACTTATCAAGGGTCTTTAATTTCGATTTTAAAGTCTAAAAAATAATGTTAGCATAACACTTAAGAACAGATGACGAATTTTTAGAAGACTATTTTATAACCTTAAAATAGATTTCCGGCTTAATATTTAAAGCTTTGTCTATCACCAAAACACCAAATTGCACCTTGTATTTTGTTATTTATGCAAAACTTTCAAAACTTCGCTGAAGGCGGCACGTCATCGAAACAAAATCGCAATCGGACAAAAAACTATTTCAAGACTTCAGTCTTTCTTGACAATTTTGACAATTTGACATTCTTCACAACACAAGTTCACATTATTAGTGTTGCTGACAGTATTGTGATCGTCACCAGTTAGTTAGTGCAAAAAAAGAACGTTATGAGTTTTTGAAGAATAACTTACTTTGATTACTGATTATCAGTTAGCTAATGTAGTATTACTAATAAACGTCTTTATTTTTCGTTTCATCAAAGTAGAACATTATTAGATCGTGGCCACACTGACCACTAATATTTTTTATATTATAAATAGAGTCTGGCAAGCGAAACGTGTCACAAGAAAAGGGCGGCAATTTCAAAAATTCTTAAGCAGTAAACACTGAATGTAGTACTGCAAAATAATTTTGATACTTTTATTAATTATATTTAATCTTAACATTTAGATATCAATTAAAATTATTTGTTTTGGAACATTTGACTAAAGCGTGACTGTTCTTAATTGTACAGTTAACAGCATATCAGTAGGCCTATTCACTAACTCAACTGACAACCAAGAATCGTCATCACCGTAAAAAATAGACACTTTGATTGTGTCAAAATCACTATTTCGTATTCTCTATCAATGATGAGCAATTTCGAAATGTCAATATCGGCATTCTCCACTGGACTCCATTTTGACACTTGATTTCGTATCGATAAACTGTATTAAAGTAACATTGTTGCAAAGCATATTTGAAGTCGTCGCATAGTACCTCTTAAGCCATTTGTTGTTAAATTAAAGCGAAAAAAAATACGTATCCAATATTTTTCTATTATCTGACTGACGGACTAAATCGAATCTTTTTTTTAACCCATTCGTTATACCTATTGGCTAACAGCACTTATAATATTAAAAATTCATATTTGTCATTAATTAAAAGGGTGTTTTTTGTAACGACTTCTTTGTTTTTTTGTAATGAATATGGGCGACTCTGGCCACATTTTTTTAATAAATGTGATGTTAGCCAATTTTGATTTCTGGCCCTTATATTTATAATGTGTTCATAACACATACATGTCTCCTAAGGGATTTTCATCACAACCTTTTGCTCTGATCCAGAACCACTATCTATCAAATTAAATTAGTCAATATAAACACCAGATTACAATAAAAAAAACATTTATTTTTGTTACAATTAAGTGCCATGGATAAATTACATAATACAGGTGTCACAAAATCATCATGTTAATCACAATAGAAAATTTAAGATAAGATTTTGACTATGAATCAGACTAAAAATACTTTAGTCTGATTCATAGTCAAAATCTGTTTCTAAATATTCTACACCTGATAACAATGACAAGGAATCATCAGAGTCACTCTCTTCACTACTGTCTGCACCAACAGATATAATAAATTTTTCAAGTTCGTTTTCAACAATGCCATCTTTTAATTTGTAATCATTTTCGACATTTAAAACATGATCAGTGTATTTCTTCCAGTCACTAGGGGTAATTAAGTTAAAACACTCTATTATTAAGTTTTCCATTTCCTTTCCTGGTATTCCAATGTTTCTGCTTGCAATTTTTCTTTTTGCTTGACTCCAAACCATCTCTATTGGGTTTAAGTCACAATGATACGGTGGCAGCAATAAAAGTTCATGATTATGTTCTTTTAAAATCTCTTCAGCTTCATATACAGGCAATGTTTTCTTATCATTAACCAAACACATTAACTCTGCCTTTGTCTGATATTCCTCAAAATGTATTCCATTATTTACAAGCCATTTACGGATATCTGCTTTGGTATTAGACATTATAGGCGGTTTATTGATTTGTTTTATATGGTAGCTGGCATTATCCATAACAATTACACTGGGCTTACTTAAATTTGGTATTAATTTTTCTCTGACCCATTTCATAAAGTTCGATGAGTTCATATCATCATGATAATCAGCAGATTTGGATTTACTACTGAACACTAATAATGCACCAGGCACAAAACCTTCCTCAGATCCAGCATGCACAACAATATGCCGTTTTCCAGAGGATATCTTTGTAGTGACACCAGTTGTTGAAGGTCCTTGCCAAGACTTTTTAACTTTATAATTCTGATGTACATAAGTTTCATCAAGGTACACAATTTGCTTTCCTTCGTTTCGTTTTATATTTATTTCTCTCAAATACTTGTGCCTCCATGCAGAAATCTGGTATTTTTCTATAAGCATAGAACGTTCATTTTCATTGCTTTTAAAAGAAAATCCATTCTTAAGCATAATTTTTCGTAAAGTCTCACGGCTACCACTGAATCCTATTGCATCTTTTAATTCATTGTGAAGGCTTCTTAATGTTGGAACAATTTTTTTCACACAGTAAAATTCATTTACTTTATTCCGAATTGCACTTAAATCAAAATTATCTAAAGCAGACACTGTTGGTTGATGAGGTCGTTTTTTCCCAGGAGTGTCCCATTTTCCTTTATTAATTAATGCTTCATTTTTTATCCTTCTTAGTGTCCTTATACTTACATCTATAAAAGATTAAACACTTTGAAACAAAGATATGTTAAATGTATTTAAAAGCAAATAATGATAGACACATACATCAAAATAATTTAAATACCTATTCAACTATGAATGCAATTTATGTTTAATTTAGTTAAGTTTATGTGCATATTTAGCATGTATAACAATTACATGGTTTGATTAGTTTCATGAATTCTGTGAATTTCCTTGTTAAACAAAACATTCTTATGACATCATTGGATGTCAACAATAAAAACCAATACATCATAAAAAACCTATGTAAATATTATAGGAATACTATCAATCTATCTTAAATCAAAACAAGAAAAGAGACCTGTCATTGAAGAAATTTTTTGTAAGTACTGCGTTTCCGAATTCAGCATTTCTTGTTTTTCTAAAGTTTTTATTGCATTTATCTCCTCCATTATTGGTTGAATATCACCATCACAGTTATCTGAAATAGAGCAATATTTTATAAAAAATATCTGTTTAGTTAATTACAGAAAATTAAAACGAAAGTATCAAAATTATAATACAAAACTAACCTAAAAAAGATACAACTTTATCTAATCGTTGTAATTTCTCCATGAAATTTTTATTTAATTCAGTTTTCACTTCAGTAAACTTGTCAATCATGATGGAAAGAAGTTTCCTCGATGAACTTTTTATCGGCTTCGACATAATTTTTAACCAAAAACACAAGTTCAAATTCGCAAAAACAACAAAATTCAATATTCTTGAATTGTCTAACGTAGTGTCAAACTGACAGTTCTATGTTGTTGCCATATGAAAACGGAAAAATAGGTGGTGTCACGTTTCGCTTGCCAAACTCTATCACTTTATTCTACACTTGAATTTCAATGTTTCTAATTTAGTCATTTTTGAAATGTTTTACTGTTTGTTTACATCTTAATAAATTGTATGTAATGTATACTTGCGTTGTCAATAACTAAACTTTCTATACTATATATTTAGTTACCAACATATAATGTTCAAATGCAAATACCTTTGAATTGTTCAAATTTTTTTTCCTTACCACTCGTTCAGGATATCTTTTAGCTGATTAAAAGAACGAACAAGAAACTAACTAGTTCTTATAGACGTAACGATATTCACAAAACCACGTCATAACCAGATCAATACTTTATAGAAATAGAGAACATAAAACTATGACCATATAATATTATTTCAAAATCTAAAAAAAAGTAAAAAGTGAAGCCATAATCTAAAACCTATTGAAAAATCATGTTTAAGTAATTTAAAAGTAAATCAATAATATATCATAATTAAAAGCTAAATTATAAATCAAAGTATTGTCACTCACATGGTACAAATCAACGATTGAAAAATTTATTATGAAAATGAAACGCTATCTTGGGAATTTAAAATTATTTAAAAATATGTTTTAAGTCGCCGTTAATCTTATGGGTTGATTTCGTCAAATCAATACAGTTTCATCATCATCATCAACAGCCGTACGAGTCTCACCTTCACTATAGATCTCTACAGCGATCGGTCCTGTGCTCATCAGCCCACCTAGTGGGGAAACTACTCACTAAAAGTCGTCCAGTACATGGTTACCAGAACCTTCCCGCCTCAACAAATTAACGGCGCATACTGATCGAAAATTTTACCTTGAAGAATTCTTCATTTTTCTTAGAGAGAAGTAAAGTGGTTCAACTACACACGGTGTATAAATGAAAAAAAAGTTATTTGACTGTTTTAATGCTAATATTTTTTTAAATTAAATATTAAGCAAAAAATTGTAAAAGTTCATAATTAACAGGCTTTACTAATAAGTGCTTATATTCAATAAAACCCTATAATATAAAGTCTATAACAATTCACTTCATTATGGGAAGCTTCAAATTGTGGCGTTTGGCTCAATAACTTTCTTAATTTCAGGTCCAATTTAACAAGGGTCGAAAATAATTACAAAAACTTGAATTCAAGTTCAAATGGTAAAGAATTTTTTTCTGATTTTCAATATTTACATATGTCTGCAGATCAGGTTACCACAACCTGTCAAATTTCGCTAGTCGATATTAATTTCTACCTTCAGATATTAAAGTTTAAAATTACCTAGATAAGTTTGACTCATTTCTATACCTGAAGTACCGTTGACTTTAACATAACATAATTCTATGTCACAAAAAATGTCAGTTAAACTTATGAGTCGATATAATTATTGATCGGTAACAAATACATCGGACTAAACTATAATAAGATATTTATTCAATAACGTTATTTAAATAACGATTATTTATTTCGCATCACTATGCCTTGCTTCTTTGACATTTATGCAGTGTTACCTAGAACAAAAAATATATTATAAAATAGTAGCAAAAATGAGTACATCTACATACGGTACACAGTTTTAAACTACTCGTTCGAGTTAACATGACACCGGGCTCGGAACTTGACCCCACCCACCATCGCCTTTCAGTAGCGACAGCAAAACAGCATTTTTACATAACAGTTAGCGTCGTTAGCTAATAAATTTTTTAACAGAATTATATTTTTATGCGAAATTAAAAAAACAATATAAGTAAATCATTTAAAAACCAAACGGTAAAATTTCATTCATAAGTATACATTTTTAATGAGGAAGTATTAAAAAAAAAACATTCAATTCTGAAATCAAACTAGATGTCGCTACAGTAGGTTCTTGATTTCTCTATGACAACTTTACGGTTTTTTTCAAGTTTAAAAGTAAATTAGTTATCAAAACTTAATAAACATCTCATATTCTATTTGTACTTTTTCATAATTGTATTGATATCTAAGTTTCGATCGTTTCAAATTTCAGTTTTTTAATGTTAGTTAAAACGGACGGAACTGACTGTCATTGGTTCATTCGTTTCCTGCAAAAATCAACTTTTGCTAGAGTCGCCACCTAGTGGAGGTTATTTTTAATGATTTCGTTTTTTTTTTAAATACTCCCTCATTGATTTGCATTTTTATCAAAAAAAAACACATAATGTGCTATATTAAAGAAAAACAAAAAACCTAGACTGCGTAAAAACGAATCTAAAAAGATACATGAAAAATATAACTTAAATAAAAACTAAAAGAAAAGAAACAAGCCCAGTAGTTTAGAATTCTGTTAAGTAATATTAAATAACTACACAGTTGAAATAGTTTTATAATCGACACACACACATAAAACAATTCATAAATTCTAATGCAGAACAGAATGACTCACAGTCGGGGCCTATTCAAATTTTATCAACCAAATCTACCAAAGGGGTTATAGTTTATGAATAATGAGGAAGTATTTAAAAAAAAAAGACAGCACTTAAAAAGCAACTCCACTAGATAGCGACTCTAGCAAAAGTTGATTTTTGCAGGAAACGAATGGACCAAAGACAGTTATTTCCGTTCTTTTTAACTAACATATTAAAAAACTGAAATTTGAAAAGTTTGAAACTTAGATATCAATACAAATACGAAAAAGTACAAATAGAACACGGGTTGTTTAATGAGTTTTGAAAACTAATTTACTTTTAAACTTGAAAGAAAACCGGAAAGGCTGTAATGGACAAATCAAGAACGTACTGTAGCGACATCTATTTGATTTCGGGAATTAATGTATTTTTTTTAAATACTTCCTCATTGGGGTGCACAACTGCTAGCTGTCAGTCACAAATTTTATACATCAGCCGCTTTATTGAAAAAACTACGAAACTTCTTACCTACTGCCACTAAAGCTGCGCTAGCGCAATCTTTGCTGCTTTCTATCCTCGATTACGCCGACGCTTGCTATCTTGATCTTTCGGAGGACCAGCTTAATAAATTTGAGCGTTTACAAAACTTTTGAATCCGTTTCATATTTGGTTTGCGCAAATATGACCATGTTTCTCATTTTCGTTCTGAACTTAAGTGGCTTCCTATACGTTTTCGCCGGTATTCTAATATAATATTATCCCTGCTCTATAACATATTGTTCAATCCTAGTTACTCTTGCTATCTAAAAGATCGTTTCAGTTTTCTGCATTGTTCAAATTCTTATTCATTGCGATCATCAGAGAACCTGAGTCTTGCGATTCCATCTCATTACACTTCATTTTATGATTCGTCTTTACCGTACAAGCTGTTCGTCTATTGAATTCTCTTCCACTTTCAATCAGGCGAGCGCAATCCGTACAAATATTTTAAAAAATTGTTAAAGAATACTACCTCATACAATAATACTTACTGCTGCTGTATTATCGCTTTTTCCTGTTATGATATTAATAGGTGTATGTATATATTTATATATGTGTGTGTGTATGTATGTGTTGTTAATGAATATATTTTTGTATAGTACTTATTTATGATATATTTGTATGTTTATTTAGCACGTAAATGTGTTTAGATCTTTAAATAAATCATCAGTGTGCCTCAATGATATATACATATATTGGTAACATTTACACCCCCATCTTCATTATTCATGTTATCTCTCTCCATCCACTTGTTGCCTGGAAGAAATCGCTTTAAGCGATAAGGGCGCCAATTGTTACATAATAGTGATAATTTAGTATAACATTGTGTAATGTGGACATTAAAGAGTTTTGTATTGTATTGTGTGTCGAAATGTGCGGCGAAAAGTGTTTAATTAATTACTAGGAAACTACATGTTATGATTACTGTCTTACGTTTTCATTAGTTCCCCCATATACATACATAAAATAATATTACAACAAGAAATGGAAAAATGCCGCCATTCTGGAGGTAAATATGTTATTGTATTCTATAGAATTTGTTTTATAAATTCACGTTTTGGATTCTTATCCAGAATCATTACAAAATTAAAAATTTCTGTCTTTGCCCTGCTACAAATGGAATTTACTAATTACATTAATAGTAATAATTATTATTCTGAGTAAAACGTAAATTTGTTTTATTGTTATATTATGACATAGGTATATATATATTTTGAAGATTAAAAAAATTGCAATAAGTAACTAATTAAAGAAAAGTAGTATCCCAAAATCAAACTAGATGTCGCTACGGTACGTTCTTGATTTCTCTATGACAACCTTCCCGGTTTTCTTGCATGTATAAAAAGTATATTAGTGTTTAAAACTCAATAAACAACTAATATTCTATTTATACTTTTTCGCATTTATATTGATATCTAAGGTATCAAGTATCAGCAAATTCCAGTTTTTTAATGTTAGTTAAAGGGACCGGAAATTATTGTCCTTGGGCCCTTTGTGTCCTACGAAAAGAAACTTTTGCTAGAGTCGCAAAAGTTTAGTTTACAGTCAAACTCTGGAACAGTTTGTCGCCAGCGGTATTTCCCGGCCGATACGACCTTCAAACTTTCAAGTGTGGAGCATATTCGTCCCCCAAAGGCCGGCAGCGCGCTTGTAGCTTCTGGTGTTGCAGGTGTCCATGGGCGACGGTAATCACTTATCATCAGGTGATCAGTCTGTTCATCTGCCCCCTATCCCAAAAAAAAAGTCGCCATCTAGAGGAAGTGCTTTTTTAGAGCTTTCTTTTTTAAATAAGTATGTCCTCATTGTACTTATTTTCTAACGGAGTTGTTAAAACAACAAAGTTTATATGAGTTTATATTAGGGTATTAGTAAAAATTCATATTATAAACCAGAGACTTAGCAAAGATTAATCTAGTACGAGGTTCTACGGGAGTAGTATTAACTCCTAGAAGGTAATAGGTTTGATTATTCTCGGTATAAAAATAATTTGGACTAATACTAAAATTGCAATTTCAGCTAAAATTTGCTTTGACACTAAACCTTGTTTATTAATAGCACCGTTAGTCTGTAAAAATTCTAAATATTCATATCATAATGCGCCCAACATTACAAGGTCACTTTGAGACTGACAGATGTCAAATGCCAAATGCTGAGTGGTTCGCGCCGGTTTCAAAATACGATTGCAAAATATGCTATCTTTCGCTTTTTTCGCAGATTTATCATGCATCATGTAGATATTTGGTAATATATATTTTTTTTGCAAAACTACTATTTTCGGGATGGCATCCCATGGCAGGTTTAGTGGATATTTTGAGAATTTTATAATTATTATTTATCAGTATAGCATTACATATAGCTTGGCTCTGTAGTTGAATCAAAGTATGAAATTTCAAAAAACAGAACAGATTTCATCCAAGAAACTACTATTGATGTCTCATCAGTTTGTTTAATATACGGTCGTCGAACAGAAACAATATGATACAGTGACCATTGTACCTATGCAAAAATTGTGTACGGCAGCAGAGGATGCCCCATAGCAGTACAACAACGAAGTTTTATTAACACACGTACACAAAAAACAAATCACAATGTATAATTTTTATTTTTGTGCGTACCTACAATTATACATTTATTAGCAGAGGAATTATGCCGGTTGAGTATGGTACATATTTTTTTTTACATATTGTAATTTTACAAATTATTTTACTGAATGTTTATCACATGCCCTTTAGTTTTCCATTATTGAGACATTTCAGATTCAGTTACTTAAAGCTTATATCATTAAGTAAAATAAAATAGGTATATAAACACTCCAACAACAGCTATACCTACAATATCCCGTCTTAGTAGTAGGTATCAAATAAAACGAAACATTTAATATGTACATATGATTATATAAAAAAATGTTTTTAATTTAAAAATTAATCACGGAGATGACTTAATACAGTTTAGATAAACATTTTACGATGAATATTATTTCTTCTTAACTATGTAAAACTAAAATTACAATACTTAAGTTTTTAGTTTACATAGATATCTTTGTGTAAAGATTTTTTCTGTTCACACACATTCACATTGCATAAATGATGCCAGCAAGCACCATCGGCACACAAGATAGCCTTAAAAATATTCATATATTATCAGCATGTTCTCCAATTTTCAGTATAACAGCTCAAGCGTGTAACATCTGCATTTTCCTTGCCTATCTGTCGTCCATCAGAGTCCACACACCTGAAAAACATACAGATTCCTGTACATAAACATTTAAAAGCACATGTACTGTGAATCTCACATCAGATAATGAGGAAGAATAAAAAAAAAACATTAGTTCCCGAAATCAAACTAGATGTCGCCACGGTACGTTCTTGATTTCTTCATGACAATCCTTCCGGGGGTTAAAAGTAAATTAGTTTTCAAAACTCAATAAACAATTCATATTCTATTTGTGCTTTTTCGTATTTGTATTGATATTTAAGTTTCGAACTTTTCAAATTTCAGTTTTTTTAATATGTTAGAACGGAAATAAATGTCTTTGGTCCATTCGTTTCCTGCAAAAAGCAACTTGTGCTAGAGTCGCCATGTAGGGGAGATGCTTTTTTAGTGCTTCCGTTTTTTTTTAAATACTTCCTCATTATGTTTCTAATCTATCGCATCTGAATAGAATCTCAACGACTTGCATTTTGCCTTTGGACCTAAACTCCAAAAATATTAGTGCAATGTCTTCCTCTCACATCACTGGTTTCAGATACAGTGGCGGTCTAACCTCATCAGCCCCATTAGTAGACCCGCAGGGCTGTACGCCCGGTGCGGAACGCCCTCTCAACTGGCTCCCTTAGTCCGCCACTGGACACTATATAATAAATGCAAGTAGTTGAAATTATATTAAGATTCGCTTATTGTAAGTAAACATTAGCAGAGTTGGCCGGCAGGATGTATACGCGCCCTGGGCAATATACCATTAACCCAGAAGTTCTAGCAAATGAAAAAATAAAAAAGGACGGAATGTAATAAGGAGAAAAAAAATGTGTCCATTTAAATAGCCTGGTAATAATACCTGCACAGTCCACGTCGGCATTGGATTCTCCTAAAATTGCCGTTTTTACAGCAAACGGGGCGTTCGGTTGAAGACGACATCAGTAAAAATGTTTGAGCACATTCTGAAAAAGTCATGCAAAATATACTAAAGAAACGTGTGGAGACAATGAAGAAGTCTGAATCGTATGCGTCATACTTTCTACTCAGTAGTATTTCTACTACTACTACTACGAACGAAATAGCTGGACTATGCGGTCTTATATTGCAAATAAAAAACACAATTGATATAAAAACTTATGATAATATAAGAGTTAAAAACGTAATACATACTACAGTCCATAGAATCATATTCAGCGGTGTTACTTAACGCTTCGTAATTTTCTATTGGATTTCCTCGTTCGTCTACGCAGATTTTTCTATAAAATAAATTATAATAAAAAATAAACAAGCTTTTGTTTAATATTAATGTAATATAATAAAATAACCGCTGATTTATTTTACCATAAATCTCGTACATACAAATCGATAATTAAAATCACAGAAAAGTCGAACTCAATGTTGAGCGTAGCGCTGTGACAGTATCCAATTTTACCTTTTGAAGTAGGTTTCTATTGATTGAAGCTTTGCTTTCAAAAAGTTGCGCTCAACGTCGAGTTCAAGGCTGTTTTATAGCAGAACTAGCTGCAGCAGAGCTACCCTTATTAATTAGGGGTGTAAAAAATTTGTAACATCCTTTTCTTAGACCTTAGAATATACATAATATAGTTTATCAAAACTAATAATCCAATGCAATTAAACCAGCAAGAAAGTAAGCCATTGATTTAAATTTAAAAAACAACTTACGATCTGTTCCTTGATAATGCGACTCTACCAAAAGTACCATCGGGCAAGCATTCAGGTATGCTACTTGCGTGATTCACGTTGAAACCCAACTCTTCGCTCTCCATCAACAAATCTATCCTGTCCTGGATGTTGTCCAAGCATAGTGTCGTATGGTTGAATGGGGGGATGCCGACGCTTTGTTGGGGGAATAAATCAAATTGAGTATCATCTAAAATGTAAATTAGAGGTCTTACATAAGAACGTGCGCAAGCCACACCACTTCCTTCATAATTTTTATGGTATGGAAATTCTTTTTCATTACGGTTTTATTGGAATCCTACTTAAAAAAACATAAGTATTTTTCAGCTGCAGATCTTAAAAGTTGAAATTTAAGTTACTTCAATTCAAAAGCCTATCACAATTTGCAGTTTAAGGTACAGAATTAAAGATTCTGAACCACAGTTCTGAACCCTTTCTTATGAATTGGGAGGTGAATATTATTTCTCGAGGGTACTTTTCTACTTTGGATTTCTAACTTCGATCTGCGATATTTGCAAACTCTAGCAGGTAGAAATTTGGTTTCCGGCATGATTAGAACTTGAACAAATCTTTGTCAAACGATGTGGATTCATATTAGGACTGCTTCAAACATTATGATATCAATATTATTGACTTACAACATTCCAATTCCGTGATGGGTTTTTCATTTAAATCTATCGTCCTTCTTGACCCTGTCACAATCTCTCCCGTTATGCGATTCACGCAATAACATATATTATCTATACATTGTATTGGATTGAAATTTCCATCAGAAGTACACCGAGGTCCAATAACCGGATATTGTACTCCAGCTCTTATTGATTTCATTTTTTCGTGGAATCTGGAACAACCTGAAATTGTCAATAAGGATATTAGTAACGGCTCTATTTACATTAACTATTTTTTTTTTTAATTCTGATTTTTTTTTATCTATTGAGATTTTTTTTGTAATTGTAATGATTTAATATAACTCAAAGTACTTAGTAGAAAAGTCGGAGACCAAAACCCGTAGCAAAGTACATAAACCTTATTATCACAGATGTGACTATCCTGTAAAACTACATAGATACTGTGAAAGTTAGTTGTTATGGTTATTTGTTTTCGCATATTATCCTTATTCGTGCTAGTCTACTAAATATAACTATGCATTGCAGCGACAGTTGAAAACAGAATTATGTAGACAAGCTGTTTGTTTGTCGCGACTGTGCCTGCGTAAATTTTAGCATGTCACCCGCGTATGATGTAGCTTCCTGTAGATAGAATCGGTCCAATACGGAGACAAATTTAATGCATTCTAACAATCAAATCATTCCTCTTTTAATCTTAAGTAGTATGAAAAAAATTTTTTTTTTCTTAATATGTATTCTGTGAAAAATTCTCCGATTGTATAATTGGCACTTTGTTTCTACCTTATATAATTGCTGCTGAACAAGCGAGGTCCCCTACCGAAGAGCCTCACTCTTGCCAACATCAGGTTGGAGACAAGTGAGAGGATTCAGACCAAGGAAGAAAAATAGAGAGAGAGGATGGTTTAGAAATAAAGAGTGTAAGGAGAAGGAGAGCAGACTTAAAGAAAGGAAGAGGAAAGGGATAGAACGAAGGAAGGCAGTGGTGGCACACAGGTATAAGGTGTCGAAATGAATTATTATTTAAAGTTTCCGTAACACTCTTGAATCTTTGAACTTTCTCTTACCCAAATATAATAAATAAATAATATTATTACTCACCACAATGCATGTTATCTTTTACGGATGCTCCTAAGTACAAAACTTCGCCAAAAATTCTTTTGCCTTCCTCAGATTGACAGAAGCATCTGAAAGATAAACAAATTAGGATTCAACTGACTTGTACTAATTATATGCACAGGTGTCTTGCATATACTGAACGTATTTGGATATGGAAATTGCAAAATATTACACAATTATTTATTCAGTCGAGGCTAGAGTTATAATCAGATGTGTAAGTCGAACAGAACAACTTGCCATCGGTTCTCAATCTACGGCGGAAGACCTTGCATAATTTTGATTTGCATTGAGATGAGAAGAACCGCAGGCACAGAATACAAGGAGAGCTGCTTTCTTCTCCTTGATTTATTAACATATTTATTTATAAACATAAATAGTGATATTTATTTTTTATGATTTAACAAACAAATTATCATATTTGATCTATTTTTCATTCACAATGCTATACTGAAAATGCGAAAGGACGTGGGCTTGAGTTCCATCGCAGAGTATCTCGGACTGGTGAATTTTGAAGCATTTTTCATTAAAAATATTTTCATTTTTTTATTATTACAGTTATTATTATAAAATTTGAAAGGTTAAGAACGTGATGTTATCTGATTGATTTTCTTACGTTTGCGTAGGCACACACGAAAAGCTTGCATACATTCCCTTGCCATCACATAATGGCCTTTCCTCTAACACACCAACCTCTCCTTTGGATTGACGGTTGTCGTAGTCATTTTGAGCTCTATGACAAGGCGTATCCACTGTAGGACGATAAATTAAAATATATTCTATAAATTAAAATTAAGAGATCTAGAAACCTTTTTGGTACAACTGTGGGACACGTATCGCGTTATAACCTACTCAAATGTTATTGTCTTCTATCTTTTATGTTAAATTTAATTCTTTATTATCTTTATTATTGATTTGTTTTGAAATTCTCTTAACTTTCTCTTAGAAGATTGTGCACTGGGAACTGGATTAGTTGGAACAATTAAAAAATTCAATATCAATCTAAATAAAGGCTTTATAATTGGCAAGTTTACATCTGAAATACTGTAAAGAATCTTACTTCTCCTGCAGAAGTTACCGTCGGTCTCGCGAGCACAAGAAAGTCCATGGCCACATCTTCCGATTGTTGTACCAAGACCGGGGCCGCCAACGCTACAGTGTTCCCCTTCACCTGACATTAAAAAAAAATACCTAATAGACATTTTCTAGACATTCAAAATTGTTAAAATAAGTTTTGATTTTTCTATCTTGGTTATATCACAAATATTTTGAAAATATGTTTGCTTTTTGTGATTCGTTAGCTTAAGGTATCTGCCAAGAAGGGTAGAATACCGTAACTATAAGATTTAAGTGCGTAAGCCTCTGAAGACGACTGATCGACTGTTTGAAGGAGAATTTTGCACAGTAATATAGAACATATTACCTCGACGCATATGGCGAGGTTGTGCGAAATGCATTTTTTCGTGATAATGCCTCCTTTATAGTTAAAAAATAAATAACCTGTCTAACCGTAATTTAATCAAAAAATAGTACACGGGTAAATGCCCTTAATTGAACCAAGGATTCTCAGAACAAATCTAGACAATAACCTATAATTTTGTACTACAAATTATTTACCAATAAAAGGGAGGCAGAAATCACAACAGTTGCACATCGTTGGAGATGGCATACGCAGCCCAGTGTGAGTTGCATTGTTTATAGCACAATTTGGAGATGTGCTCGAGCAGCCTGTTTCATGGACGAAATTCTGGAAACATTTTATCGTGGTGCATGATAATAAACACAAAATTGTTAAGACTCGGTATTTGACAACTACTAATGATGTACCGTGTAGAGGCCAGACATGTAGAGTATTAGTTGGTGAAGGTTGTAAGATGTCGCAGAGTTCTTGGAAGTGTTCAGAGTTCTTTGTTATTAAACATATTAAGGTATGGGAATCTTAAGTATATAGGTGTATATGATAGACACGAGAGGGTATTTTTTCACTTTTCGAACGAGGAGGCATGGCCGGAACACGAAGAACCACGCTGATCATGAGCAGGGCAGACTAAAGAATGTGACGATCTAGATCTAATTGGTTGAAAAATAATTCTGTTAAGATGTAATTCAACACTTACTTAATGACACAGCCTCATCAGCAACAACAGATATTTTCGGAATAGTAGTGCCATCCTTTTTTTGTGGCACTTATATGTTTATAGTGCCACAAACATATTGTGCAATAATACATTCCAATATTTAACCTAGGTCATAGCCTAAGCATAGGTCCACCGTATAAGGTTTTTTAACTCTTGTGGGTGAACATGTGATTCACAGATATTATTATCTTGGAAGTACTACTAGATGTGGAAATTACTAAATATCACTGTTAAATATACTTAGTTTAGAATTACATACTGTAATTATAACACTCATTATGACTAACTACATAGCATTTTTTACATAAAGTCATAAAAGGCAATCAGATAATAGAGTGTTCTGCTGCCTTAAATGTGATATTCATATCAATGTGTGTATTGTATCTTAACTCAAACACTTGTGAATATTTTTAGCACGTATACATATCTGAATATAATAATAACAAAGTAGAAAGTGAAATAATTTCAATACTATTAATATGCCTCACAGTCATTATTGATAATTAAGAACCGTTTGAAAGCATCACTCAAAAAATACTTACACGGCAGAATTCGGCATCGCATAGTAGTATACCGGTATTAAGAGAAACCACGGTCTTTATTTGTTGCAAACTAATAAACAAAACAATAAAATATATTCGTTGCGCCATATTGCGAAGAAAAAATACACTGATTTGAAAATAAATGATAAATTATATTTAATCAATACAACGTCACTATCGCTTGATAATTTTCAGTACGATATGACAATCTGAAGTCATAACTGCGAGTAATTATACAGAGAAGTAGATTATTGATTATGTCGGTAAAATATCTTTGGCATAGATAAAATAGAAGTACATTTAATATGTTCCGATATTGATAAAGTAAAGACTGGGTGTGAAAGTTCGAACATACCATAGTTTCACAGTTATTGAAATGAAAATTCCAAAGATCTAGTGCCTGGAAGCAATATTACATGAGAAACCTTAGGGTGCTAACATATAAAAATAGATAAGCGTATTTTATGAGACAACGGAATAGGAGACAAATCATTTCCGATTGCTGTGATACACGTTTTTTCGTTACCAGAAATAAAATTACAAGCTGCATGCGTGTATTAGCTTTCAGACGTTTATAAATTATTCCAAGTATTTATAACCTTCAAATATAATGATTATTATTATTATATTACAATAAATAACATTACAAAACCAATTTCAAAAAATTATCTGTTTCTTTCTTGCAATACGGAATGAGTTTATTTCATTTTCCTCAATTACAATTTGATACTGATTTTCAACTCTACTCTACTCTACAATAAATTAGGATTTGAATTCAAGTGGTGTTTGACAGATTTCAGTAGGCTGGCGTGTTGTTGCCTTTACTTATATTACCTCTACATGTCCTATTTTCGTAATTTAGTCAACAACATGGAGACAGGTGACCCGTTCATGTTTGTATATCCTTATCATCTGTGCTCAGTATCTTATCTGTGTTTGATAACACAAAGAATTTTATAAGCAAAGAGATGAATGAGTTTACCGAAAGATTTCTATGCTGGGACTTTCGTATAATTATGATAAGCTTGATAACTTACTGCTATTTGTATATAGATGGAAAACTTGGCAACTATACGTGGTATGGAGCTCAGTTTTTTGGCCATCTTAATAAATGAAAACATTATCTATACTTATAATAAATCTGTAGAGAGGTCAATTCTGTACATGAATTATATTTCCAAAATAACTATCAGGGGGTGATTAGGGATCGATACTGATGCCAAAAATGCAATCGGTAAAATTTTTGTCTGTCTGTCTGTCTGTATAACCGTTATAGAAACAAAAACTACTCGACGGATTTTAACGAAACTTGGTATAATTATTTTTCGTACTCCAGGGGGCCAATTCTACTAATTTACAACGATCGATCGTTAATAGCGTTTCTGTAACGGTTACGTTTCGATTTTTGCTGTAAATTTGCATTCTGCTAACGTCAATTATCAAACGAACGTTTACTAAATTGAAACGTAATCGTAGCCGAACCAAACAGCTGTCATTAGTGTTACCAGAATAAAATAAATGAAATTATTAGTTAAACGGGAGACGATTAATGATTATTCATTTTTTTATCACTATATAATGAATGTATTACATTTGTATTCGATCGTTTTAAAATAAGGACGAAACAATCGAATATTAGCTACATTAAGAAAGTGCATACCTAAGTGTTAAGCTACAAGGGAAAATACCCGAAACGCGAATTTATAATTAATATTTTTATCATTATGGGTATTTGACACTATAAAAATAAGTTGCGTATTATTATCATCACGTTAGATAATAATCTAATAAAAGTTTATTTCTTAGAATCTGTAGATTTTAACAATTATATTCATCGAAAATAGAACAGATTCTCATGTAATATATTGACAGTGTGTTTATAATGTATCAAACAACTATTTTAATTAATTAGTTTTCAGAAAAGCGTCATATACACAATTCTATTATTAAGCACTCAACTTTAAACATGCTTAATATTTAAAGCATAAATCCGATATAATTAAGTCTTTTAATTAACAAAAAAAGTCAGATGAAATACTATAAATCCTGACGTCAACTAAAGATAACGTCAAGCTTAAAGAGTTAAGTTTCAAAATTCAAATGGTGTTGGTTTATTTTATTGTTTATACCGAGTGTTAATTCGCAAAATAAATGTTATTATGTGAGATAAAGTAGCATGAAAGTGAATAATATGATTCCGTAAAATAAAACGGTACCTACATGGGTAGGTCGTGAACAGAAAAGTTTTGACTCATTTTCAGTCACTAACAAACTGTAAGAAGTGAGGTATGCAATCAGTCCAAGACTAAGACGAGCATTAATCCAGAGGTGTATACTTTACTTTAAACAACTCCGTTTCAAAAGAATGTACAACAAAAATAATCATTAAATTTATACATTTGTTTGTACTAAAAATAAATGTTAAAGTTAAATGATGATTGCATATGACTTTAGTAACTTCAATCCATTTAAACAGAATTCATTAAACTTCATTGAATATCATCAGACTTCATCAAACTACATGGACTTAGTTGAACTTCATAGTTCATATTGTGACTTTATGGGACTTCATTAGGTTTTCATATAACATTTCCAATCACGGGCATTGGAAATTACATAATAATAATAATATATATATTTATTTATTTGGGCGTTGTTGAATCAACAACCGTAGTAGTCCGTAAAACTTAGGTAAAATGCAAAATTGCACCAAAATTAAGTAAAAGTATATTAAAGTTTTTTTTATTCAATATGATAATGAATGAATTAATCGATTATTTTCCAATCGATGTTTGATTTTCATATTGCAACACCAATTCACTTTTTGTCAATACAAACCACAATGATACAGACAATGTTTTAATTAATCTTTCATTCATTACTTTTTCATTTTACATGTAGAAATTAATTTATTCACTTGACTTTGGCTGAATTGTGTGAAATGCGCAGATATACCATTAATAAAAGAAGAATGAAATTGACAAAATTGGATTGTAAATGACAATTTAATATGGGATATCTACTAAAACAATCGCCATATGTGTATTTTTTTGTAATATTAAACTGTAATAGGAAGTGAAACATTATACTGGAAAATATTATTTACAAAATTAATTTTATAAAATAATTCATACCATGTATTGGCTACGCACGTGAAATTGGCAGAATTATGCGAAAGCCCTTAATAAAAGAAGAAGTTTTCGATTGAAAATAAATATTCATACGTATCAATAACTTAGTGAAGAAGATAAACGATAGTCGATTCAAAGTAGACATTTAAGAGAGAATTATCGATGATGAAATGAATCCAATATCTTTCGAAATCTGGCTATACCTACATCTGTACACCGAATCAAGCAAGGCAACATAATATATACTGTGGAAAATCTATTCAAGATTAAATTTAAAACAATGTTTGTTATAGAAACCCATTAGAAATGTCATTATTGACTAGATATTATAAGTAAGATCAGAGAAAATTATTAATGATTTGACATATCTTTCACATTAAGTTGTATACAAATTAAATTCTTGTAGTTGCATGGATCTGCTCGCAGCTATCATCCATGCTGACTAGGAGCAAATTAAGTATAAGTTTCAACTGATATAAAAGAACTTACACATATAAATTCCTGCCAAATTGAACAAGAGCTCCTGGCTTCACAGGCTTATTTTTTTTTGTTCTAAATTGTAACCCATCATAGCGTATGACAGTTTTCTTTGGAATATTGGTGGTTGGTTTTAACTTTGTGTCAAAAACAGTAGAATATGTATTTTTCATGTAGCTAATACTAATTAGGCTGAACATTTATCTTGCACGCAACTTAATATATGGTTACAGAAAGCCTCATGTTATTTCAAATGTTACATAAAACTGAGCTGAGGCTAAGATCATTTTATTTTATTTTTAAAATTAAAAATAATTCAGAATAAAATCTTATAAACAGTATATTTACCTGTTTAACAATCCTTTAAACATGATGATGATATGATGAAATAATCCTTTATAATATTATAATCTCCAAATAAAAAAGTGAGTAATACTTTGTTAGAAAAAAAATATTCATAATTATAATTTTTTAATTAAGATTATTATTTGATCATATTTTCTTTTTAATGTTATTGATAACATTTACACCCCTGTCTTCATAAATTGTTGTCTCTCTCTTTCCATCCCATGGTTGCCTGGAAGAAATCGCTTTAAGCAATAATGCCGCCAATTGTTATTTTATTTTATTTTACCTATATAACTTGTGTAATGTTAACAATAAAGAATTTTCTTTTCTATTCTCTATAATGGTATTATTAATATAGTTTTGGTGAACTTCCTAAACATAAATGAGCATATGCTCACTAGTAATGCAGGTAATTCTTAAATTCACAAAACCTGCTGGTTATCTGGTAGTTAAATTGGTTTTGCTGTGAGTGTTTATGGGTTTAAATCCCACCTCAAGCACTAATTGCTTGAAGTGGGTTTTTTAATTATTTTCCTTTAAGATAAATATCAATATAGTATTGCAAATGCAAGTGATCAGAAAAAATAATGATAAATTAATTAATTTTTAAACAAGGACTTTTTCAGTGCCATTTTTATTGGAATTCCACACATGCTTGTAAATACACACTTTTAAGTTTTCCTGTAAAAATACTACAATAGTTTACTTTTTTCAATACAAAATATTCAAAAATTCATGTTTTTATAATCATAGATAAGTTTACTTAAAGCCAATAGCCCCTACAATATAATAATGATTTTTACGATGTTCCTATTTACAATGATTGTTTATAATTATGTAAAGTTTTAACAGAAATATAATTATTGATTTTAATTTACATTACATGCCTCAACTAGGTGGACCTTATTTATGTTAAGAATCTACATAATATGAATTTAACATTTGAATGAAAACCTATTAATTTATCTATAAAATTTAAGTTTTTAATAAAAAATAATAATTTAAGATTAATAATCAAGATATAATTTATTTTATTTTTAAAGTCTGCCAACATTTTTACATATCAATAAGCAACCACAAAATTACAGAACTATCTATAACAAATAGATGAAATGGTGTACATAAAAAGTTTATTAAACATATGCATGCACTATCACACTTGTTTATCTAGCTCCATAGTTTTCGATTTCATTTTTTTTCTAGTAA